CTGCCCTCCAGCCCTTGTCTCAACGTCACCTAGTGCCTCTTCCACCCACAGTGTGCCCCAGGAGTCCTCGTCCCCTCCTGGACACCCCAACATTCACTTTCCCCAAATCTACCTTAAAGGGGACAGCAGAGGATGGGGTCATAGAAGGGACCTCTAAGAGGATCCCGGGTCCGAGCAGTCCCCAGAAGCCCCACGTCCCCTCCACGTCCCCTCCACATCCCAGGCGAGCCCTAGCCGGCCAGCGCCTACCTTGTCCCGCTGCATCCCGGGTGCTGGCGGGAACTGCTGCTGGCCGCCCCGCTCCCCAGCCCAGGCAACCAGGACTGCCCGGCCTGGCTGGCAGCTGCCTCATGTTTGCTTGGACCCAGACGTAATTGTCACCAGTGGCTTCTCGCCCCCCCCCCCCCCGCCCACACCCCTACCCCACCCTCCCTCCCTGCCTCCCAGCGCTCCGCCCTCCTGCTCCGCCTCTCCCTCTCCCCCTCCCTCTCCCTCTCTCCCTCTCTCCCTCTCCCTCTCTCCCTCTCTCCCGCTCCCTCTCACGCACATGTGCACGAGTCCGTCTTGCATCTTTCTGGTCCCCTCCCAGGCGCTCTCTGTACATGGCTTCAAATCCTGGCCCCGTGTCCTGTCCCCCAGGTCATGTCCCCTCAGGTGTCTGTCCCTAACTCTCTCTCTCTCTCTCTGATCACCCTCTTCTTTGTTACCAGGGGAGGTTGCAACAGGGGGTGCAGAGGGTGTAGGGGGTGCCCCGGGTCAAGGAGCAGCAACTGGTGGGAGCTGTTCTCGGGGCAGTGGTCCTGTCCTGCCAGGGGGAGCTCTAGGAGCCTCTTGGTGGCATTTTCCAGGCCGGCCCCTCCCTGTCCTGCGTCCCTCCCCTGGGACACAAAGGTGGAGAAGCTTGCCCCTGGCTGCTGTGGCTTTGTAGGGGGGCTTGCCACCAGGACAGGTTAACAGCCCAGGGCAAAATCATCAGGGGGACACTCCGGGGTCCTTCCATATCTTTCCTCTGTCCCTCAGGACCTTGAATCACCTCCCTGTCACCCTGGTAATCCTTGCAGAGTGGGAAACTTCCCGAAGCGTGGACTTTTCCTATTTCCCAAATACCATTGTCCTGGCTGCCTGGCTCTGAGGTTGGGAGAGCCTTCAGGGCAGCAGAGGGACCTTACCAGATGCTCTGGGGGGATGGCGGTGGCAGAGGAGAGGTGAGGGCCCCCGGGGATCCCTGGGAGAGGGGGTCTTACTGCCGTTTTGGGGGGCGGGCTCCCTAGCTTCTTCTCAGCCCTGGGGAAAGCACCCAGGAGCCGGGTGCCTGAATGCTCTGCCAAGTTTCCCCTCTGGGTGCCCGGAGGAGCCCGCCTGTGCGGTGCCTGTGGTTCCCATGGCAACAGAGCCCTGGCCGCCCGCCCCCTCCTTTGCAGTGTGCTCAGGAGCTCACAGCCCTCCCCACCCCACTTTTTGAGCCAGCCAATTAGCTTCAGCGTTCAGATGCTCTGGGGAAGAAAACAGCCTGGAGCTGTTGACCCACTGAGGCAAGGAGGACTGTCCCCAGAGGGGAGGTGACAGTCCAGGTGTCTGCCAGAAGCTCCCTGAGGATTATAAGCTGGGCAGACCCCAGACTTCCAGTCCCAGAGCAGCACTGCCTGACAGAGGGGAGCCCCTCGGCAGCTGGGGTGGGGACTAAGCTCCCTGGGAGCCATCTGCCTCAGGGACAGGGACAGCCCTGCCGCTCCCCCTAGCCAACTTCCAGGAGCTGGGTCTGCTGAGCATGTTGTCTTTGTGGTGGCCTTGGGAGAAAAGTGTCTTTGTCCCACTCTATGATAATGACAGGAAGACCCGGAAAAGTTAAAAGGTCAGCCAGTCCCGGGCTGGTCAGTGGCGGGGCCAGTGCGTGAAGGCTACTCCTTTTCCCCACGGAGCGCGGTGGGCAAGACCTGCCTCGCCCGCTAGGCTCCAATTCTCACCATCCGCCTGGACACTTCCTCACCTACACCCAGGCTGCAGAACCAGGGCCACAGCAGCTCTCCCTGAGCCAGGCCCTCTGCAGTCCCCAAGTCGCTGAACTTCCCCTGCTCAGAGGCCCTTCCTGGGGATTTGTGACCTGCACAGAACAGGCTGGGACTCCCCTCTCTCCTGCTGGGCCATGGGGCAGGGGCAGGGGGATAGGGGGTGGAGGTGGCAGTGCTCTGGGAACTTGCCCTGCAGCCCCCTGAGGTGGGCGTCCCCCATGGGACACAGAAGTGGGTGCAGGTGCCCTTGCCAGGGTCCTTGTGTCACCACACTCTCTTCCTCCTCTGGCCCCCATGGGGGCCTTTCCAGGTCTCCAGGCACTGCCCCCGGGTCTCTCTGCTGGGCCTCTGGGGAATAAGAATGAGAAATGACCAAAGTGGGGCTCCCCACCTGGGCCCCACAGACTCCCCCCAAGACTCTCAGAGTGGCCGCATCAGCCCTGTCCAGGTGAGGGACTTCCCTACCCCCGCCCACAAGTCTTGGGGTCTTCTGGCCCTTCCTCAATGTCTGTCCATAACCCCTCTGCCTTAGGCCCAAGTTCAAGTCCCTCCTTCCCAGGACCCCTGATCTGTGGAGCCCCCTGCCCCTGTCCTTTCCTCAGCCTTTGCTTCTGCTGGGCTCTGGCCGAGGAGATGGAGGAAAGAGAGAAGTGCTGGGTCAGAGTGGGCTGCTCCTCCCCCGGAAGCCCCTGCCTGTCAGCAAGGCCCAGGGGCTGGAGGGGAGCTCACCATGCACGTGGAGCCCCTCTTCACAGGAGACTGAGAATGTCTGAGGCCCCCAAAGGCCCCTGTCTGGGCGCTGCAAACTCAGGAGTGTCACATGACTTGAGTTGGTGCAGCTGTGGCTTTGGAACCTACCAGAAGCACCTTAGCGGTATCTCCTTGATACCTCCTCTGCCCACTGCCCTCCCAGAGCCCTAGGGACAGTTGAGGCCAAGGGCACTTCTTGGTAGGGAAATACAAATGGCTGTCTCTTGCGTCACATCACACAGCCCCTCCGGTCCACTCTCCTGTCCAAGGTGGGAGTGGTGGGAGGTGCGCTGCCCGCAGGGCTGTGCTCAACTCCAGCTGACCTCAGCTCGGAGAGGTCGAAGACTCCACCTCTTTCTCTTTGGGGCACGTCCAAGGGTCTCCAGAGCCTGGCCCCCCTGTCTGGATTTTTAGGGGACCAAGGAACCCGCAGTGCCCAGTGGCAGACTTGCCTTCTCTTGGCTAAGTTCTGTCCCTTCTCCAGGTGGCTTCCTGGGACTGAGCTAAAAGACCCCATGCCGACTGTCAAAAGGGCCTTCGTGGAGGCCACCCGTCCTTTCCGTAGCTCTGCCACCAGCCACCAGCTCATCTCCCACCTGCTGGACTGCGCAGGGGAAGGGCCTTGACACATCAGCCACTGGATTTGTTAAACTGCACGGGGCCCGTGACACGATCTCAGGCTCTCGGGCCTCCTCACCGTCCCCCTAGGGCCCAGTTCACATCCTCTAGTCCCCCTCCTCTAACCCCAGCCCCTGGTTGCCAGCCCCCTCCGTGTGGGCGGGACCCCATGACCCTCCCCATATCCCCTACCACGTGTGTCACTCAGGCGCAGGTCAAGGCTGGGTGGGGGTCTTCTCCCTGGGCATACCCCACCTCCCTCCTCACCCAGGCTCTGAAACTCAGTCACCATGTGTAAGACGGAGGACTGTCAGGTGCTCCAGGATGGCACTCCAGGACAGTCAAGGGAGGACTGGGGACCTCCGAAGGGGCTGGGTACCAGCAGCACATGGTGTGGGGAGCAGGCTGGCCACCAGCCTCCCGGGTCAGTCCCTGGCATTCCAGCCTGGAGAGGCAGGGCCCAGGGAGAGGCAGGCCCTAGGCTCTAAGCAGAGGGCCTTGGCTCTAGCACGTGGCAACAGGGACACTGTCATTCTGAGCAGGGCCACAGACTGTCAGGCTGGGCGTGGAGGATTCAGAAGGCCGCCATCACCGTGGGTCCCTTTGGGTAGGTGGCGCCCTTGGTATTCAGCCCCTGTTTAGTGTCCACGCTCTGGTTTTCTCAACCAAGTAGCCGAGTAGCGCTGGCTACCTGGTCATTAGTTCAGGTAAGTGTGCAGCACACTCCCTGATGGATACTCAGCTCAGTGAATACAGGTGAAGTCACATTGTCCCAGCCCCATCATGTGGCCCTTCTTCTGCATACCCAGCCACTGCTAGGGACCTCAGATGTCCTGGCCCATGTGGCGTTTCTTTGGCAAAATCTGCCACAGGGCTCTGTGCTGGGCAGCCAGGTGGAGCACCTGGCAGAACTCCCAGGGCCCCCAATCTGTCATCTCTTCTGCCACAGGGACATCAAGGACATCTGATTCAGATCTCCCTGGAGACACAGCCTCCTTCCCGTGCTCCCACAGGGAATGGAAACAGGGGCTCATCCAACAGGAAACCCCCAGGCTCAGCTCCAGAGAACCCGAGTCCAACTTATGTGAACTTGAACCAGACAGTGACATCACGGAGCTTCATCTGCTCAAGCACATATGACAACTGCCCCCTTCAGGACCCCTGACATCTGCTCCTGTTGGAATGACAGACGAGACTGTGACCACGGGGACTTTGTTTCACATATGAAGTAGAATTTGCCTTGCAGAATCCCAACATTCTAAAACCAGGTCATGAGGCGACTTTCCCACATCATTTCCACCTCTTTGTCAACTGCTGAGTGCCGTGCCCAGCCCTGAACGACTGGTGCTCTCTGAACAAGCTCTGGTGCAAAACCAGCATTCAGCGGGGCTGGGCTGGACTTCTGGATACTAGATTTGAAGTGTGGCAGCCACAGGCCAGTTCTCAGGAGGAATAATCAAAATCGACTTTTAGGACCATGACTTCTGATAATGGTGGAAAGGTGACTTGTTCCAAATTCCCAGCGGAGGACAACTTTAAAAGTTGCTCAGATGACTGCATGTATACATATGCACACACACACCCGTGCACACACACAGAAGCACCTGCACAGCAGCCAGCAGCTTCTTAACCTACTGATTTATTTAATATGCATAATGTATACATTTAATATTTACAATGTATACTTATGTAGGTCTATTTAAGGGTGATTGAGGGCACCAGGAAACAAACCAGACAGCCACGGATCATAGTGCCAAGACCTGGGAAAGAAGGACATCCAGAGACCTGTGCCCAGCACCGGGGCTACTTTCTCCCTAGAGAAGATACCACAAAGGTGCAGAGTTTTGAACAACTTCTGGGGCGACAAACCAGGCTGGGACCCCAGAGACCCTCCTGCTAGGAATGAGTCAAGTGGAAATGAAGAATTACGCCCAGGGACGGAAAAATCATCTCTTTCCCACAAGTGGACTCAAGCGACCTGGTTTGCCAGGTCCTCAGACACCTGCAGATGTAAACATAGGTTTCCTGGAGGAAGAGAACTTCATCCCAGGCCTCCTACTGGTTTCAGATACAGTGAGTACCCAACTCAGTCAAAATCCACCAAGTACCCAAAGAGGGATACGAGAAATCGAACAAAACCCAGGGGAAAAAACAGCCACTAGAAACAGACCCATGGGTCTCCACACAAGGGAATTGCTCAACTTTAAAATAGCTCTGCTGCTGGGGATGGAGCTCAGCGGTGGAGAGCTTGCCTAGCAAGCACGAGGCCCTGTGCTCAATCCCTCTCACCACAAACAAAACAAAAAGTCAAAACTATGCTTAAATATATTGATGATAAGAGGCAATTATAATAGAGAACTGGACATGTCTTTTACATTATTTCTACTTCATTATTATTTTTTATGGTACTGGAGAGCTCTACCACTGAGCTACATCCCCAGACCTTTTCTATTTTTATTTGGAGACAGAGTCTTGCTAAATTGCTTAGGGTCTCACTAAGTTGCTGAGGCTGGCCTTGAACTTGTGACCCTCCTTCCTCAGCCTCCTGAGTTGCTGGGAGTACAGGTGTGTGCCATGGCACTCAGTTCAACTTTATTTGTTTCAATGTCGCCCATTGCATTTTTAATATGCAGGGTGCCACTTCCTCTGCACAAGCCGGCCTGTGAGCAAACATCAAAACCAACAAATAAAACCCTCTGGGGAAAGCCAAGAAGAGCGACTGGGCTGAATCTGAGGATGCTTGTTGGAGATGTCACATAGGCACCACCCTGATTCCCAGTGGAAAATCTTTTGCTGGTTTGTAAGATGCAATTAAACACAGACACTCCCTGAAATTCAGGAGACCACCGCTGTCATGGGCTTTGGCCTTCGAATACGGACCCATCTCCCCTTTCCCTTGTGCGCACCCAGACCCTGGCTCTGCCTTTGGTCCAGTTAAGTCGTGATGGAAGACAGCAGCCCTCGGCCAAGGGCATTCCACAAATCACGTTTAATTGTCACAACCCTCCATGGGGCTACGGTGCCTCTATGCCATGAAAGGAGACACGGAGGTGAGGGCCTGCAGTGCATGTTCACGGTGCCCAGCCAGCCAGCACCAGAGCCAGGCTGGGGGCCAGGTCTGGCTGCTCCTGAGCAGGCTCCCAGAGGGGTGCTGCTCCCATTTGCTGGTGGCTGGGTCGTCCCTGGATGCCTGAAGTCAGAAGAGGCCTCGGAACTCTGTCTCTACCACCTCGTTAAACCCCAGCTGTGTTCAGGGACCCAGCCGGAGAGACCTGGCTTCTGGGACCCCAAGCCGAGGAGGCTTCCAGGGAACGGAGAGCTGACCTCTCTTCTCCTCTCCCTTGTGGAACTCCGTTCAGCAGGGCCGTGATGACGGGGACGGGCTGGGATGGCCTGAGCCATGTACACAGGGGAGAAGGGGCAGTGCCAATCCCGGCCACCAGGGCCCTCCTGGGAAAGCTGCTGGGGAAGACTCTGCCTCCCGAGAAGCCGACGCAGGGAGGGGACGCAGGGAGGGACGCAGGGAGGGACGCAGGGAGGGGACGCAGGGAGGGGTGGGGCCGACACAAGGACTCCTAACCCGGTGCAGGCCAGGCTCAGGCCTTAGAGGCCGCTCGCCCCACTGAGGTCCCTTAAGTCCAGGCAGGGGCCCAGGGCAGTGGAGGGCTCAGGGGCCACCAGGCAGAGCCCAAGCCCAGACCTGGGCCGTGGTGGCCTTTGTCTGGTGGTTTACCTGATTAGTTTGGTTGAGCAGAGGAGTCCCTGGGGCCAGCAAGATAATAGTGGGGACAAGATAAAGAGGGTATGAAGGGAGAGGAGGACTTCCCTGGAGGAGGAAGGAGAGGGCTGGGGAGGGAGCAGGAGGGAATCTGGGGCTGATGGGAGGTGAGGACAAGAGGAGCTTGGAGAGGAACAGAGGGGGCCCCGGGTGGGGACAGGGCAGGGCTGGGCAGGGCTTCTGTCCCACCCAAGGGGCTGGGGAAGGGGTTCCAATAGGTGAAGAGCAGGTGCTCCTTGGTGCTGATGTATTGCAGCAAGGAGGATAAGGGCGAGACACCTGGAGGAACCTGCAGGTGCTGTATGATTTGGGAGGTGAATGAAGGAGGTTATGAGCAGAGAAGGGTGGAAAGGGAACAGGCAGGATGGGGCCAGGGAAGGTGGAATTGGGGGACAGCCCAGGTCTGGGGCCAGCTTGGGCTCTGGGGCAAGAGCTACAGAAGTCCTCTAGTCCAGGCTGAATCAAAGTGGGGGGACAGGCAGTCCCAGGGGGCACCTTGCCCTGTAAGGAAGGAAAGAGTGCTGGGGGGCGGGGACCAGGGCTCGCGCCTGTCAGATCCACTGCCGAATGGCCAGAGCCGGACCCAGACGCCACCAGGTCCCCAAGCCTCCCTGCCCTCTTGGAGACCCCTGGTCCCAGCCCCTTTGCTCCCCACCCCTGAGCGCCCAGCATGGAAGAATTGAGGGGTGGAGCAGCTCACCTGCTGGGTCCTATAGCTTCAGGGAGGTGACCCGGGGGATGTGGAAGAGCTGAGTCTCCTCAGAGCTGGTAGAGCTGCGGCATGGCAAAAGGAAAGTGTCCCCAGAACAGAACCCCAGCTCCCACACAGGGACAAACCCAAGTCCTGATGTTCCTGCCTCTGAGGCCCTCCAAGAGAGAGGAAGAGTTTTAAGATGCTATGCTTGGGTGGATGTGTTACAGTAAGAAGGATGTGGGGCAGACATACGGGAGGACTTCCGGGCCACGGAACTCCTTAGTGCATGTGTGTCTTCAGGCCTAGACTATGATTCTTCTCTGCCAGGTTTCAGGAGTAGGTAGGGCAGGGGATGAGGGTCCAGTGTCTATAAAGACTCCTTCCTGGGCCTCCAGTGTCCCCCCTGACCCCTGAGATCCTGGCAGCCCCTCACCTGAGGCGTTTCCGGATGGGACGGAAGTATTTGGAGGTCTTCACAGCAAAGATGATACTGGGGATGAGGAAGAAGGTGCACCAGGCCAGGCAGAACCAGAAGGCGTTCTGGAGGGGTGTGAGGTCGGTCAGCTGGCCGGGTGGCCTTCCCAGCTGCTCTGCAGCCTCCGCACTGGCTCAGCGAGGGGCGGGGACAGCTGTGACCAGCGCTGGGAGGGCAGGGAGCAGGCCCCGGGCTGGGGGCGCCTCATGGCCTGCTCACACTGCCCATCTATGGGGCTCGATGTCCACGGGCCCTGATGAGCCGGGGCACTCACCCAGGGGTCGGCCACCATGTCACACAGGATCACACGGCCATTGTCCAGGGCTGTGGAGAGGGGCTGGCAGGTGGCGATGCGCTGAGTCACCTGTGTTGGCAAAGGAGGCGGGCACATGTGGAGACCCCTGCCCCTCGGGTGTGTGCCTCACATTCAACAAGAGGTGGACAGGGACATTCAGAGGTCCAGGGACATGGCTGTGGCCCTGCACACCGTACACAGATGCGGGCAGCGGCCCCGGGCAGGCACAGGGTGCAGGCCCAGAGATGGAGATGCTCCCGCCTCTGCTGCGCTCCTGCCCTTGGTGCTGGGGCTCGCCCGTGCTAGGCCCGCCCTGTGCCCAGCACTGAGCTCTCAGTGGACAGCCAGCACGTACATGTGCACGTGCTGGCACACATGACCTCACCTGCTCGTACACACATGCATGTGCACAGACACACTCAGGCCAGGCCAGCCCCCTGTGGCCAGTGCAGAGCCACGACAGCTCTCAGAGGCTGTGGCCAGCGGGCGCCTGGAAGAGGAGGTGGGCTTTGACCACAGAAGGGCAGGGGCACGGCGTGGACGGCACGTTCTAGATGGCCAGGACCCTCCCAGCTCACACGGGCGCTGGGCAGAGGTGGGCGGGCAGAGATCAGCCAGCAAAACCAGGGGTGCCGATGCCAGGTTTGGGAGTTTGGGTTCAACCCTGAAAGCCTGGGGCACCTCCAAAGGACAGGGTGACCAGCTGCTCCCCTGGGTGTGGGTGACCCTCAGCTGCTCTGAGGCCAGGCAAGGTCCAAGCCCCCACTCACCTCCTCTCTCACCCAGGCCAAGTACTGCGAGAAGTAGCTCAACTCCCGGCTCAGGAAGCAGGCACTTTCCTGCAAGAAAGAGGAGGTCCAGGCTGGCAGGAGGCCCAGGAGGCCAGGAGGCCAGGAGGCCCCTGCCCCAGGCCTGACACCATCAGGGCAGGATGGGCCTCCCTGGGAGCCACCGTGAGGGTCAGGGTTAAAGGAGAGGCTGAGGTGGAGCCCGGTCCCCAGCCCCACTCACGTTCATCAGGATGCGGGCGGCCCTGGCAGGCAGCTCTCTTTCGAGGTCAGCGACTTGGCTCAGGACGCCCGCTGTCTGCAGCTGGAGGGAGAGGAGCCTCGGCTCTGTCCCCCTCAGGGAGCAGGACAGCAGGCAGCCACTCCCCGCAAGTCACCGCTCACCTTAGCAGGGTGGGGTCAGCGCCGAGGACCCTGAGGCTGAGTGGTGGTCCCCAAGGCCCCCCACCCCACCTCCTTCCCACCTCACCGCGGCCCTCCCTCTGTCTGCAGCCCACTGCCCTACCCCTTACGGCCACCTGAAGACGAGGGGCAGCGGATTCCAGGGCCCTGACGCTGAGGTTGAGCTCTGCCTGTGCAGGAGAGACCATGCTGGTGGGGGAGGGTGCGAGGGGTGGACGTGGCCCCCGGGGCCTCCCTGCTCCTCACTGCCCTCTCCCCGGCAGGCCGCAGGCCCCTGGGCCTCAGGACTCACCACCAGGTGCTGCTGGGGGACAACCTTCTCCCGATAGAGATCTCTAAGCCCATGGGCCTCCATTCTCAGCTGCTGCCCCAACGAAGAATTGCCCTGAGAGTGGACAGAGATCAGAATGTCCCCCACGCCCCGCAAGACAGGCTCTGCCTGAGAATCCTTGACCCAGACTTTCCGCGAAGGGGAGGTGGGAGTGCTAGGATCAGAGGCAGAAGAGGAGACTTCCTCAGCTCCAGGGAGACCTGTGTCTGAGTTTTAGGTCTGCCCCTGGCTTGTGGGGCACCCTAGTCAGCCACGGGACCCTTATCAGCTATGGTGGCATCTGCAGACACCAAGGGACGCTCCTGGCCTGCCCACCAAGCTAGGCTGCTGCAGGGTCTCAGAGATGTCTCAAAGAGAACTTCCCAAACTCTAAATATTTGTGAATACAAAATGCCATTTCTTCCCCTGGAGGGCATCTGTCATGGTGTGGCCACCACACCTGTCCCTGCATGTTCCATGACAGGCGTGTGCATAGGATACCCATGATATCAGGCCAGTTACCTCATTTGATCTGAGGCGACGTCAGTCCTTTTTATAGATAAAGAAACTGAGGCTCAGAGAGGCTGAACGACTCACCCAAGGCCACACAGCCAATTGGTGGCGGAGCTTGAGTTGGAACAGATGATGCAAAGCCTCCAGCCCAGTTTGAGGACCAGGAGCCTCAGCTGTCACTGGTGAGGGGACCCTCAGTCCCCTGCCTCTGCCCTCATCCCCTCTCCAATGCAAGCATCCTGGCCTCCCGCACCCTCGGGCCTCCTCTGCCTGCTTCTCACCTGGGCCTGGGCCAGCCCCTCCAGCTCCTGGGCCAGCGGCTCCAGGTCAGTCTTCACCACAGGCCTCTGGATCTGAGGGCAGACGGAGAGGCCACCACGAGGGATGAGTGCTGAGGCCCCTGGCGACATTTCAGACATTTCCCAAAACAACAACAGAAGGAGGCGCCCTCTGGTGGAGCCCAGGCAGAGCTGCCCAGCGCGGGCTGCAGGGGGCTCAGCACCAGGAACAGCGCAGGGGGTGGGCCGAGGGCGTGGCGGCTCCCAGCAGGGAGGACCCCGGAGCAGCTGGGAGGGTTGGGAGGTGAGAGCCTCTCTGAGGCCCCTCCACCCTGCGGGGACCTGAGGGCCACTGTCCACCTGCACGAGGAAGGCCTGGTAGTCGACTTTCTCCAGCCCACTGTTCTGCAACGCCTCCAGGTCCCGGTGAGCCTCCGGGCTCAACAGCTCCAGATTCTGCACATTCGGCTTGAAGTTCTGCAAGTTCTGCTGCAGGTTGTGGGTGTACTGGGGGAGGAGGAGGAGGATGGGGAGCACGCCCAGGTGGCAAGCCAGGGTCCCAGACGCTCCCCAGGCTGGCGGTCAGCGGTCACCAGCCCTCAGGACCACCATGCTGGGTATGCAGGACCACCCAGACGCACCCCACCCCCTGCCAACCTCCTTGCACACTCTCCAGGACCCAGCCTCTGCGCTGCATCTACTGGCCACCAGGCTGCAAGCATGGGCCTCCCTGTCCATCTGGCCCCTCTTTTTCACATCTGCAGAGTTGAGGTCTTTTCAGGGCCCGAGGTTCTGAGATCATCTTTTTTTCATTTGTCTACTTGTCAGTTGCCATCAGCCCCCGTGACCGTGGGACCTCGGCTACCTATTCTAGACACAAGCCCCGGGCATTAGAGCGGAGACTCCCACGTGGTGGCTGAGGCCCAAGTTTGTGGACTACAGGAAGGAAGGAAGGAAGGAAGGAAGGAAGGAAGGAAGGGAGACAACTGCATTTCCAGGAAAGATCCTTGGCATTTTCCTACCATCACGGCAAGAGATTTAGGGCTCATGAAAGTTCAGTCTCAGAGTTTAACAGAGAAAAACTGAAACCAGACAGGGGGGTTCATCTGCTGGACGATGCACAGCAAATTAGAAAATGCAGTCCATCTCTGCTTGCTACTTCGCCCAGGCTGCCCCCTCCCTGTGACAGAAAAGCCCTCACCTCCTAGGAGGGGGTCCCAGTATGGGGGGTCAATGCAGTGGGCCCCAGAAGGCTCGCCTGCCTCGCTGATCTCTGCATAATCAGCTGTCGCTTTCTTCCTTGAGGATGAAATTTCTAAGGTCACCTGGGTCAGTTGCCGGATGGACTCTGAGGACCTTAAGTTCTATCTCTTCCCTGAGCTGGACCCTTCCTCTCCCAGGACCAGGCCTGAGACCTCTCTCCCTGGAGCCAGGACTTCCGGCCAGCAGGGCAGGGGGTCCCCTGTGCCCAGGGGCCATCCTGGCAGCCTTCACCCCTGGGGCAGTGTCCCTGGCCTCTCACCAGGGTACGCCAGCTCAGTGCACCTCCTTTCTGGGTAAAGAAGCGGACAGGGGTGAGCTGAGGTCTTAAGCCAGCTGTCCCAGGTCACACAGCTTAAGGCTTGGAGTTGGGACTGGGCCCCATGGACCAAGAACTGGGGTGGACCTGAGAGGAGTTGGGGTGTTCTCGCGAGGAAGCAGAATCAGAAGTCAGCCTGCTGCTTCCCAGGGCAGCAGGGGCAGGCCAGGGAGGGGTGTGGGTTTCCTAGGACACGCTCAGAAATGGCTCCACCTCCCACCTCAACTAGGCACCAACGGAGGCAGGAGGGGAGGTTCACAGCCTCCACACATTTAGAGCCATGTTCTCAAAGTACGTCCCCTCTCTCATGAGGTGGCATTTTGGTTTGTTCTAGAGCTGCCCCTGGCCAGCATGGGCAAGCATCTCCACCAACTTCCTGTGTGACCTCTGGCGAGCGAATGCCCCAAGTTCCAGGAGGCACAGGCAGAGTCCTCGGGGTCAGGCTGGCCTTGGGTGCTGGGCAGGGGCCTGGCTCTAGTCCTGGGCCAGGCCCCGAGCACCTCAACCAGTCTCCCTGGGTTCCCAGCAACGGCGCCTCCACAGAAACGGGACCTGAGGAGGAGTATCTGCAGGAGAGGTCCTCACAGCCTTCTGGAACGTTCTCCTACCTGGCTGATATCCAGGTGCTTCTCCAGGTTGTAGGAGTCATCCAGCTGCAGGACCTTCCAGAGGGCAGCCCCTTCCCTGCACTGCCTGGGGGGAGGGCGAACACAGAGGAAGGGAGCTGGTGGCCACATCACCCTAAGGGGACAGCCACTCTGCCCTCCCCGCAGGCCCTCCTGCCCCCAGCCCAGGCTCCCACTCACTGATAGGTCAGGAGGACGCTGACGTTCTTCCTCATGCCGAGAAGGTGGGACAGGTTCAGGGATGGGGGCAGGTTCCCCGGGGTGTCTGCAAACTGCGGATGGACAGGGAGAGACGGGGGTGAGCGTGGTGGCAAGGCTGCCCGCTCCCCTGAGCCCACCCTGGCAGAGCAGGCTGGCGGGGAGCATCTCGGGGACTCCAGACCCAGGGCTGGCCTGTAACCTGAATGAGCCCCGGGCCCCTCCTGGCTGGGGCGATTCCCATGACTCTCTGGGAGGGTGGTGGGTCAGCCTGACCCTCGGAGAGAGCCCAGGCCAACCCCCATCTCACCACCGAAACGCACCCAGGGCCCCAGGCCCCGGGCTCAGAGTGGGAGGAGGGAGGGGGCCAGGTGTGAGTGGGACCACGAGGTCCTTGTCTGGAGGCGCACGGGTTCTCCCCCGTCCTGTCCCCTGGGCCTTCCTGTCTCTGTGCCCACTCTGCCCCCCTCTCTCCCTCTCGACCCTTCTTCTCTGCCCACGCCTCCCTCTGCTGGCTCTGGGTCCCCAGAGAGGTGACAGGCCCACCTGGTAGAGCTCCCCGCTCTCCCAGCTCCGGCACACCAGGGTCTGCACGTTGCCGCCCACCAGGAAGGTGAGGAAGACCAGGAGGATGAGGGGCGCGGCGAAGAGGAAGCTGAAGCCCACCCCCCTGGGGAGGGCGAAGGGCAGGCTGAGGGGGGCAGGGTGGCTGCCCAGGCCAGCCCTCCGTCCCCAGCCACACCCCAGGGCCAGCATGGTCTGAGTGGACTGCAGGGCAGAGTCTTGTGGGGAGCAGGAGGGGGGACTGGGCCTCCCGGGAGGTCCCTCCTGGTCCCACTGCACCCCACCTTGTTGTTGGGGTCCTGCTGGCCCTGGCAGCCTAGAGAAGGGGACGGCTGTTGTGTGCACAGAGCCAGGTCTGCCTGGCACCTAGTGCCTGTGGAGGTGGCCCGATCCAGAACCCAGCCTTCAAAAGGGGTCACCAGGCATGGCTGGCCAGCAGGAGCAGCACCCCAATGGGCTGTAAGGACTCTTAGACCAGGTGCCACTGACTTGTAGGCTCTTTTGTGAGACTGCCACAGCCCCACCCAGGCTCTGAGGCTCGGAGAATGAAACATGCGGTGGAGTCAGCCCCCACGCTCCCGAGGGCTGTCACCCTTGTGCAGTGAACAGCCTGCCCGACTGTATGCAGCAGCACCCTCTTAGATGACAGCTAGTGTAGGGAAGGTGGAGAAATAGGACTCTGCCTTGTGTTGGCGGTGCTGCTGCCTGGATCCTGAGGCTCTGGTCTGAACCCAGTGGGAAGCACGCCCCCTGAGGACCTCAGTTGTCCCTGGTGTGTGTGTGGGTGCGCACGGGGAAGTTTTCTGGCCATCCTTCCTGCTCTAGTGCAACCCCCTTATGCAGATGAGGACACCGAGGCCCATGGCTGGCCATTTGCCCAGGGTCTCCCAGGAAGTGGGGGCTTCTTACACCATGAGGAAGCGGGCTCCAGCCTCGCCCTTGGCTTCCGATTGGCTGGGGTCCTCTCTGGCAGACAGTCCCCAGATGCCCAGGCTGAGGCCCAGCAGGTTACAGGCCACCACGAGCAGGACCACGGAGCACAGCACGCAGCCCACCGTCCACCTGTCACAGAGGGGTTGGAACTCTGGAGGGGCTGGTACGGGACCCAAGGCTAGAGTGTGGAGGAGCAGGTGTGGATGCTTCCTGAAGCCCTGCTGCTTAGGTCCCGGCACACAGCGAGGTAGAGACACGGAGGCCCGAGGAATCAGGGGTCCTGACTTAAAACAGGCAGAGGTGCAGCGCAGTCAGGGGTGGCGGGGGCTAGAGGTGGGGCTCCAGCAACAGAGAGGCCGGACACCCACCCTGCCCGGCCCCAGGGCCCCTGGGTACCTGTAGGTCTCGTATCTCTGCACCTCCTGCAGATAGGGACGGCTGTTTTCTTCCAGCTCCTCCAGGGCCCGGCTCCAGCGGGGAGCTGCTTCCAATTCAGGGAACGCTTCAGCCAGTGTCCCCATGCCTTCTGGCTTCTGGGCCACCGCCTCCTTCAGATCTGCCCGAAGCCACAGGGTCTCAGGGGATGCAGAGGGCACCCAGGGGCCAGGGAAGAACCCCTGGGACCTACCGCGGGCCCACCAAGGAGGACAGCCCTGACCACCACTGCCCCACTCCTCTCCCCTGGAAGAGCCTCCTGTCTCCTGGAAGAGCCTGCCCCGGGGAGCTCACCTTTGATCACAAGCTCCATCTGCATGGCCACCAGGAACGGGAGGCTGTTGAAGGTAGTGTTCTCCTGCAGGAACCAGCGGGGTTGTGCCTCCGACCCTCCAGCCGGTGTCCCAGCTTGGGGGTCCCAAGTCACCAGGCCTCAGAGGGCGGGCATCCCTCCCGGCTGCTCTCTGCTCGGGTCACAGTCCCTTGGTTCTCTTGGTCTCTGCTTCCGTCTTGCAAAGCCCTGTCTGACGGTCTGACATATCACCCTTCTTCCCCAGAGACCCCGTCCTTCCACTCCCAGTCCCTTCCCAGACAACAGGTCACCTCAGCCATCCCCTCTTGTCCCGTCCGTCCTGCACGGGACCGCTAGCCCTGACTCCAGAAGTTCAGCTCCCGTCTGCCATTCCACCTAAGCTCCCACTTCCTCTTCCCAGGACCTCCCGCTCCAGCCACCTGTCTGGCTGACTCACTGTTTCCCCAACTCCAGGTTCTGGGTCACAGGTGCTGACTCACCGGCACCCTCCCCCAGGGCTGTCTCCACCCAGGAGAGCCCGCCCGCCTTGCGGAGCTCAGCCAGGGGCTCGCTCACTGACCCCCACCCCACCCCACCCCAGGCCTGCCTCCGCCAAGGACCGGCGGCATGAGCCCCCAGCCCGAGGTGACAGGTGTGGCCTCAAGTCTTAGGTTCAACTGAATTCCCACTTCAAAACAGGTAAACTGAGGTCCCCGTCTGTGAGTGCCCAGGCAGGAAGAGGAGTCAGGGGGCCCAAGTGGGCGCTCACCTCCTGGACCATGTTGGAGAAGTTGGCCTCGGGGACACCCTTCAGGTGATGCAAGACATTATCCACAGGGGGCACCTGCAAAGGGGCGAGATGTCTAGGGAACAGCGGGAGGGAGGGGCGGGTGTCTCTGAGCCCTCAGGTGTCAAGTGGGGACGGCTTCAGCCCAGCTGCCAGAGCCAGTGTGCGTGAAGTCCAAGGCACCAGGTGTGTCCTGGGGAGAGCTCTGACTGGCTGCCAAGGTGAAGGTCATTGGCCTTGGGCTCTAGTGCTCAGGAGGGGAAGGAGCAGCCTGGGAGGGGACCAGGGCAGTGGGCCTCAGGAAACCCCAGGCCATGAGGCTGCTGGAGGGTCCCTTCAGAGCCCCAAGCCTCTGCCCCCTGCCTGCACCTGGGTGAAGTCAGCGGCCAGCTCCAGGGCTTGGGCCCGGTCCTGGGTGTCTGTGCAGTCCTTCCCGCACCCAGGCTGCTGCAGCAGGGCGAGCAGGCGGTCTCGGTGCTTCGCAAGAGCCAGCACCAGCTGCTGCTGTCCCTCCCGCAGCTCCACCAAGGTGCTGTTCAGGGCACGGAGCTGGTCCGTGGAGACCTGCAGGGCTGAGACCCACACCTGGCCTGAGCTGACGCCACAGCTCCTGGCCTCCGCAGCAGCTCTGCCAGAGGAAGGACAGTCCTCCCCTCTGGCCAAAGGGACCTGTGGTCGTTGACCTTTAAGGTCACAGTGGAAACTGCCCCAGGGCACGTTAAACCAGGAAGTGGGCAGAGATGCCCGAGGACACGGGGATCTGGGATGATGGGATGGGGACATCATGGGTGGGGTAGGCCGCTGGAAATTCAGGGCCGGGTGAGGGTGGTCCTGCCCGGGTGGTCATCTGCTGGGCCCCACCCCATGCAAGGCACTGGCCCAGCTCACCCTGGCCCAGGCTGTGTACCGAGGCCAGCACCGAGTACATGGTGCTCCTGAGCTGGCTGTGAATGGTGGGGCCGATGCTCTCACCAATCCCTGGGGAACACAGGGCATAGGGCATTCTCAGAGCTGGCCCCCAGGAGCTGAGGGTGACCCTACCCCCACCCCAATCCTGCTCCCCAGGTCCCAGCCCTGGCTCTGCAGGGTGCTGTTGGCTTCTCCACCCCACAGCAGGGGGCCTGCTGTGCTGGGAAGCCAGCTGGGCCATCCCGCTGTGACACGGTGTACCAGGAAAAGGCCAAGATTAGGGCCCTGGGGCCTGCCGACGCCACTCTCACCGTCCAGCTCCTTCAAGACTTGCTCCTGGGGCACAGAGAACTGCTTAGCCACGGCCTCGAGCTCCTAGACAAACACAAGGCTGTAAGCCACTTTTCCTGTCCCTTGGCAGCCCCTTCTCTCCTGGGGACAGCACAGGGGCAGTTACTCATGTCAGCGACTCCCCAGCAGGGGGTGGCCACGTGTGCCGAGGAAGGGCCCCTTTTCCCCTTTGCAGGCTATGAACACAGGGCACCCCCTCTGCTCTGCCCTGCCTGGGCCTGGTGCTCAGGAGGCACCTGGGGACAAGGGCATTACTTGGTGCTCACCCCGGGGACATCGGAGACCAGGCCCCGGAGGCTGCGCAGTGTCTCAGGCACAGCTTCAACACTGGGCCCCATCTGCTCATGTGTGCGTTGGTTGGTGACAAAAGCACAGACCACACCAGCCCTGCGGGAGGAAGGCGAGGAGGAAAGATTCGCGGGGCGTCCGAGGGTCTGGGCCACGGCCGGCCCTCCCGCCCAGCCAGGGCCGCTCCTCACAGCAATATGATGGTGGTCAGCAGCAGGAAGGCCATGAGCGTGCCACGCTCACAGGCCATGGCCTTGTGCTCAGTTTTCACACGGCCACCACAGCGCCGGCGACAGCGGCAACAGCAGAAGCAGAGGCCGGTCGTGGGCACTGCCACGAGGTAGAGGCCCGCGGTCACTGCGCACACCACGTAGCCCGCCTCGTACCGCACCACCTGGCAGGGCGGCAACGCGTCAGGCGGTCCCGACCCCCCTCCCAGCCTGGCTTCCCCGGATGCAGAGGGAAACGAGGGTGGAGGGCGTGTCTCTCTTCTTGGTGGTCAATGTAAGGAGGACACGGTGTCCCTCCCGGCTACCATCTTACAGATGAGAAAACTGAAGTTCAGGGAGGTTCCATGTCACTGCAGAGCTGCGGCTGGAACCCAGGCCTGCCACTGTAGCACCCCTGGAGAGGAGGAGGGATGACCGAGACCCCACCCTGGCAAGCACCGGGCAGACGGGACTGAGCTGCCAGACGACCCCTCCTGCTCAGCCCCAGGCCCCACTCCAGCAGGTCCGCCTTGGTTCTCACCTCATCCACCTTCAAGGAGGACGGCTGGTTCAGCAGGGCCCTTACCAACTCTGTGGGGAAAGAGCCAAGGTGAAAGTTCGGGGACAGCCACTGCCCTGGCCCTGCGTCACCCCTCCCCACTGCCAGGCCCAGTGGGATCTTTGAGGCCATCCGGCTGGGCCTCAGCGCTGCCCCAGGGGAGTCCCTCTGGGCAGGTTCTGGACCTGGAGGGGAGGCTGAAGCCCAGAAGGGGCCTGGCCTAGCAGCTCCCCTCCAGGTCCCACCCCACCCCTGGCCCTCTCAACCCCAGGTGCCACCAGACTCAGAGAATGAGCCAGGCTAATGTCATGTGCTTCTAAGTCAAGGTCCTCCAGTTAGAGGAGAAACAGGCTCAGAGAGGGAAAGGGGCTTGCCCAAGGTCACACCAGAAGGTTCTGGAACTTTTTCCTAGGGTACCCTGCCCCCAGGACTTCTGGGAGGAAGAAAGCTGTCGGGATGCTGGGGACCCTGCCCTCCCCTCCACGTGCCCATGGACAGGGAGGCTGCTGGGGACCAGCGGCCAGAGGTGCACCAGGGGAGGAGAGGGGAGGAGCGCACTCACCCGAAGGGAAGGGGTTGAGCTGCACCACGGACAGGAAGCGGCGCACCATGCCATAAAGGGGGTCCAGGGGCCCCGGCGCCCTGACTTGGGGGGCCAGCCAGCGGGTCCTGGCCGCTGGGGAGAATGCCAGGCGCTCGGAGGGGCCGAGCGACGTGCAGTCCGTGGCCACCGGGGGCGGCAGACTCAGCGCCAGCCCCAGGCCCAGCCCCAGCAGGGGCGCCAGGAGGCCTGGCGCACGCATTGTGGGGTCGGGCAGGCGGGCAGCGGTGTAGGCAGGTCGGTCTCAAGCGGCAGAGTGTGCGGGCGACCACGGGGCAGGCTGTGCATCCTTCGGCAGCCTTCCTCCCTCTGTCCCTGCAGCTCTCAAACCGGCCCGACAGGTTTGGGCTCCGGAGCTACCTGGGCACCCGCGAGCGTAGGACGGGCAGGGGCGGAGGCCTGGGTAGGGGGCAGGGCCTGGGCCTGACGCCTTGGGCGGTGGGAGGGAAACCTGGGTTCCCCTCCCTCCCCAGATGCTAGGCCAGGGTTCCGTGGGAGCAGGTTCAGGCGGCAGGTGGGTGCCTCTGGACTATCTGGGGTGGCCCAATTTCAATCTGGTAAAACACAGCCACCCAGTGCAGCCTGCCCCAGGGGGGTCACAAGACCAGATGCACAGGCCGGGGAACCGGCTCACTTTCCCTGATCCCCTGGGGCTTGCTCTGTCCCCATGGTCATGCCCAGACATCACTGCCAGGCCAACCTGGAACAGAGGGGCACCCGACAGGCAGGGTAGTCCCAGGAGGGGAGGACAAACCTAGTAAGGGTGTGCCCTTCTGCCCAGCCTTGCCCCACCCAGTCACAGAAAGAACTGATCCGGGAGATGCCCAGGGATGTGTCTCCACAGGTCTCCGTTTTGTCCACGGCTTATGCCTGGTGCCCAGAAAGTTGCCAGCGGCTGATCAGGTCCTGGGGAAATCTTGCTGAAGGGATGGAGGATGTCCTGGTGGCAATGTTCACACTGGAATCAGTCCCAAAGGCCACCCTGAGGAGCTGACAAGAGGAGCATCTCCCACGACACACTGGGCACTCTTCAAAGCCAACCGTGTACAGATGTCCCTGTTGACACGAAACTCGATGCGTTAATACATAACAAATAGCAGGTTCCGGAACAGGACAGGGCACAGGGCCATAGAACATGATCGTCTCTGGGAGAATCACGAGCAAATCTTGCTCATCCGTGTGTCCTCATTTCTGTGCATTGAATGCATGTGACTTGTGTTAAGAGAAGTAACAGGGGTCTGTGAGGTTTCACGCAGGTCCCTCCCCTGTCGGGAGCCCTGGGGGGAGGGGATGGCTTGGTGGTTTGGGTGAACTTGGGACCCCCCAAGTTCAGTCCAGGGCAGTAGCTCAGTACTGTTCTATGAGGTGGGTAAGAGGCACGGGGACTGGGGACCGCCCTTGATGGAGCTAGTGACGAAGAGGGGACTTAAGTTTGGTGTAGGGCTGGGCCGGCTACGACTTCTGGAGCCTTGCTGTTGCTTCCCATCTCAGTTTTCTCAGAGCTGGGGAACAAGGGTGACCAGGCATGGAGTCCACTTAATAACGGGGTGCAGATGGGAAATGGGACCTCATCAAAGGGTGATTCAGAGATGAGGATCAGCGCTGTGGTCACACACTGGGGTGCCCTGGCACCTGGTAGAGTGGGAGCAGGCTGCGGGCTGGGGAGGTTCCTGTCCCGACTCTTCCCCTGCAGGCCTCACCCTGGTGGGTAGAGGGAGGCCCTGCCCACCTTGCCCCTGCCCTGCAGCCTTCTCCCCAGACTCACAGCATCTGTGCTAGGGGCTCCTGCCTCCCGGAGGCTGCCTGGCCTCTCCAGGGCCGGTCTGCTCCTCCTGACTCCCTCCCGCTCCAGTTCAATCAGTTAGAAAGAATGCCTCCCTGGCGATCACTTTCTAACTTTAGCCCCGTCACCAGCGGGATGGAAATAGCTCCTGCCCGGCTCGATATAATCCACCTATGGGGAAATTAGTAACTGCCATTGAGGCTTTCTGTACTTTCTGCACACTAGTGGCCCAGAGGACCAAAATCGGGGGGCGGGGGAGGACCAAAATCCTCAAGGACTTGGGAAATAAGCAGATCCTCACTATTCACTGTCTCCCCTCATTACTATAATTAACCCCGTCACTGGCTGTTGCTACTGTTTTCATAGAATGTCTCTAATTGTACTTGGAAGGTAAGATTGCCCAAAGAAGAATCACAATCACGCCAAGCCTCTTCCCTGGCCTGGGGGCACTAAGGTTGATGAAGACACCAAATTCACCTGTTTGACAGGTGGAGAAATTGAGGTCTGGATAAAGAAGTTTTCCTGAGTCAGGGGCCAGGCCAGGAGTGAACGCCCTAGATCTCCTTCTTGAGCTGGATCCTGATGGAACAACCCATCATCAGATTCACTGGTCAGCCCCGCCTCCTCCATCCCCAGCCTGGGAGAGCAGGTGGGCTCAGGCCCAACGGTGGTGAGGCTACTATAGTTGAATGTTACATTAGCCTGAAGTTGAACAAAGATCATCCAACAAAAGCCTATCTTATAACAGTGTTGGAAGTTTCCAGCAATTTCTCGGAATCTATACAACGGTGTCCTAGGTATACTTGCACATCGCCGTGGAATTGGAAAACCATCAAGTCCATTAAGTCTGGCCACTGTAAGTAAGAGACCGTCTGCACAGAGATATTTTATCCTGGTTGGAGAATGGAAAAGTGCATGTAGGTCAAGAATAGATAGGAAAAAAGTCCCCAAACGAAAGTTCTGTGCATGCTGGGTGAGTCGGGTGAGGAATGGGTGGCCTCGGGTGGGATGGAAAGGGAAAAGACTCTTCAGTGAGTGGCCTGTCCCTGGGAAGGTCCTCCTGAGCCTCACCAAGCAGTAAGGATGGGGCGAGGCCCAAAGAGAGGCCACAGCAAGCCCGTAAGGTTTCCAGCAAAGTGCTAAGAGTTCCCGTGCCAACCACTGCAGGCCCCAAGAGGGAGCTCCGCGGGGCTGCTGGGTGTGGTCCAGGGTGTGGGGACCTCGGCGGCTTAGAAGTGGTCAGAGTTGGGAGGCAGGACCTAGGCAGACAGAGATGACTGTGCTCTGGTTCCTTGGGGCAGCATGATCTTCTAGAAGCAGCAGCCTAGCACCAACTAGAGAAATCCTCCAGAAAGACTTGCCGTAGGAAGCTTCAAGTCTCACAGCCCAGGATACTGGGTGGGCCCTGCACCCTCTGTGTAGCCTGGTGAGTCCCTAGGGACCAGATAGTCTCCATGTCCACAAGACTTGTTTGTATCAAATGGGAGGACAGCATTTTCTGGCCAGAGCCAGGTAACCTGGTTTGCAGAACCTCAAACTTCCCAGAAGCATTGTGGGGACTCCCTCTGCGAATCTGACTTAGACAGATAATGGACACCTGTTGAAGATGAGTCATTGGTGCTATTCTGATATAGTCTCAGTTCCATTTCAGTTGGTGTAATGAATTACCTGAGGCTGGATAATTTATAAAGAAAAGAAGTTTATTTGGGTCCAAGAGCATGGTACTGGCTTCTCATGGCGGATGGAGCCACAATGGTGGGCGTGTGTGCGTAAGGGATTGTATGTCGAGATAGGAAGCCAGAGAGCGGGAGGGGCTGGTCTTGCTCATTTATAACAACTTGCCCTCAACTAACTTCCTCCACCAGACCAGCATTAAACTCTTCCGAGGGCAATGTCCCCAACGACCTAGTCACTCTCCACTAGTCACCTCTTAAACCTTCTTCCCCTACAACATCACCGTGCTGGGGACCAAGTGCCCATGAACCTCTGGGGTTCACTCAAGCCTTCCAAACCAGGACAGCATCTCTGACCCAGTCTCTTCCCCTCCTGTTAGGGCCAGGAAAGTGGTTGGTGGTCCCCTGGGGGCTCATGGCAGCATGTACCTCCCAGGCCCCGGAGCTGTCTGACCCTGGTGCCCAGGAGCTCCCCACAAGTGTCAGAAAGACAGATCTTACCAGGCGGCCAGGAGGAAGTCGTCCACTCCCGAGTCTTGGCGTGTCCTAGGAGGACACAGGACATGGCAACAGTGGCTGGGGGGCGGGGAGGGCCTAGGCCTGAAGGCGGCCCATCAGCCTTAGGAGACTGGGCCAAACAGGGCAGCGGGAAGCTTCTGGGGGCGCCACCTGCTCTGGATTGGAGCCTGTTTCTGCTCAGCACCCAGAAATCATCTTATCCAAACGGCCAACTACATGGAACCGGGTGGAAGGGCGCGAGGTCCTGTGGCAGAAAGAATCCTGACCAGCCAGAATGCTGGGCTCAGACCACAACGGGGGAAGGCGGCCCCAGAAGGTGGCAGCCAGTTCAGGGACTGCGGGTTCATAACCGCTCGTGGAAGCAAAGAGACTTTCATGGGTGAGCCGACCACAGGTGACGCCAGTCACTAGTACAGACACCTAAGGCGCTTGGTAATGCCAGGCGGCCGAGAGGTTGGAGGTCTGGTGGCAGAGCCTGGTGCCATTGTCCTGCAGCGCCCTGCCCTGCTGAGCACAGTGGGCTCTCTCCAGAGAAGCCTTGGTCAGTTGAGGCAGGGCAGGGGGCCTCCAGGCAGGACCAAGGGCGCCTGGCCTTGAGGGTCCACCCAGGGCCAGCAGGGGAACAGGTAGGTTGGGGAAACAGCCAACATGACTCTGGTCTTCCACACTGGAGGGAGCCGGGAGTCTTGTCCCCCTCTGTCTCCTCCTTATGTTCTCTGTCCCTGTACAGAACTGACCACCTGAGCCTGGCTCATGGCCAGAGCAGGACAGGACACACCCAGCCCTCTCAGGGTCCTCTCCCCAAGGCATCCCCCCCTTGCCTCTGGTGCCCCCTGCAGGCTGAGGATGGGGCTGCAAGTGCCTGGGTCACCCGGACTATAGGAGAGAAAGTGACACCTGACCCAGGTGCCGGGCATTCCTGCTCATTTAAATACAAACATCACGAAATGTAAACTGTGGACATGTCCCCTACAAGCAATGGTGTGTGAGTGTGCGGTGTCCCCCAAACCCAAGGGAGTGACATAAAGTTGTGAGGGGCTGCTGGATCTCATGCCCTCCTCCAAAGGCATGTCAGCTGTCAAGGACGGGGTGATGGCACAGCTACTTATTCCCCTGGGACTCCTCTTCCTGGTAACATGCAAGTCCCCTGTGGCTTCACTTTGGGGATGATCTTTTGGGGTTGGAGAGATACAAAGGGAAAGGTCCCCTGAGCAGGACATTGCCACCAGCCAGCAAGGTAGGACAGGGCAAGAGCAGAGCAGAGGCCGAGGAAGGGGCCCAGGGCTCCCAGCCTGCTGCCCTTGAACCACCTCAAGATGCAGGGTGGCATCCCAGAGTCCCCGCATGAAACCTTCAGGGG